GAAAGAGCAGTCAGTGCTCTTAACTGCTGAGAAATCTCTCCAGCCCCCAATAAATGTAGTAAAACCCCAAGCTAGCAGATTATCCTTCACAGCCCTCGTTGCAGTCTGGTGTGGCCACTTGACAGTTCCAGCTAGTGACATTGTCTGGGCCTAGTACCTAAGTACTCTGAGGACCCACTTTCTCTCCCTGCATACTGGTGTGGTACTGACATCTGAGCCAGTCTTGGAAGCCATACGATGGAGAGGGCAGATCCTGGTAGCCTGGGACTCGAAATGACTGCCTTTTGAGACAGGTCTCCCTGTAGCCTCAGCTGGCCTAGAACTCACCATGTGGACCAGGCTGGCCTTGAATCCATAGAGATCCACTTGCCTCTGCCTCCCGAGTGCTGGGATTAAAGGTTCACCTAGCATTCTTACATCCCTGAAGTGACACCGACTTCATGGTTAATGAATGTGCGCTTTTGCCAGGTATTACACACTATGTATATTAACTTGTTTAATCCCTACAATTATTCTTAATATTCCTCATTCTGTGTATGTGTGTACATATGAATGCTGTACGTGCAGGCCTGGGAGGGGCTTCCTTCATCACTCTCCACCTTCTTTGGAGACAGGGTCTCACTGAACCCAGCATTCACCCATTGCTAGTGTGACAAGCCAGTGAGCTTGGGAGATCTGTCTCTGCCTCCTTACCCTAGTGTTACAGAAAACTGCTACTATGCCTGGTTTTTTCATGTGTGCTGGGGATCGGAACTCAGGTCCTTGTGGCGGCTGTGCAGCACTTTACAGACTTAATCATCTTCCCAGGTCCTTATTATCTCTCATTTTACATGTCTACTACATGTGAGTCTACTAAGTGGCAAAGTCTGTCCCCAAGCCTGGCTCTAGAAACTATTTTTTTTTTTTGTCTTTTTTGAGACAGGGTCTCCTTGTAGCCCCAGTGGAACTATGTAGACCAGGCTGGCCTCGAATTCACAAAGATCCACCTTCCTGGGATTAAAGGTATGGACTACCATGCCCGGCCGACTTTTTAAAAAAAATATAATTTTTATGTGTACGAGTGTATTGCCTGCAGGTATGTGAGTGCACCCATGTCGTGCAATGCCATGGAGGTCAGAAGAGGGCTCCAGATTCCCCTGGAACTGGAGTTAAGGATGGTTCGTAGCCACCATGTGGGTGCTGGGAATCAAACCCCGGTCCTCTGCAAGAACAGTCAGTGCTCTTAACCGCTGAGCCATCTCTCCAGCCCCTAGAGACTAGTCTTAATTAACCACTGTACTCCACTGTCAAAGAGTTGTTATTGTGTATCAACTGCATACAAAAATGCTTGTTTGACATCTGTAGGGAGCCATTCTCCAGCAACCTAGACACCAGCATGGGGGCTGTTCATTCCTTCTGGATTTAAATATTGGTCACAATGGTGGAAGTAATTCAAAGGGTCAGGGAGACAGAGACACAGCCTGGTGTGGAGTAACCCCCACAATTTGAAAGAAACGATCAGAGCCAGACATGGTGGCACGTCTTTAATCCCAGTACTTAGAAGGCAGGCAGATCTCTGAGTTCAAGGCCAACCTAGCCTACATAGTAAGTTTAAGACCAGCTGGGGCTACAGTGAAGCACTAAAAAAAAAAAAAAAAAAAAAAAAAAAAAAAAAAAAATTAAAATAGTTTAAACGCATTTCTTCTCATGCATATATGCAACAATCTCTTTCACTACTAATGGCTTTGAACACTAGATGACATTAATGGAACAAATGTCAAAACAATAGGCACAGTTACCCAAATATCATACATTCTGTGTTGCATCCCCACACAGGGAGACATCACTTTAGTGATATGGAACTCAAAAGACACTTGCAGCACC